CAATTCCTGGTCAGGGCACATGCCTGGGCTGTAGGCTGGATTCCTGGTGGGGGTGTGCAGGAAGCAGCTGATCCATGTCACTCTCACATCGATATGTTGCTCCCTCTCTCTCCCCCTCCCTTCCTCTCTAAAAAAAAAAAAAAATCAATATTAAGTCTTAAACATTTTTTTCATTTATTGAGGTTCGAACCACAACTGGGTGGGAAAAGAAGTTATTTTGGCAAAATTTTGCTTTTCATTAACTTTCTGTTTGAACTGATATATAAAAAATATATAAATAATGTTTTTGCTGAAAATATATTAATCTTTTAATCAAACATGTACAAAAATTAAATTTATATATACTATATGTACTTGAGTTTTTAAAATCTGTGTTAAATATGACAGTATCAGAATAGTAACTTTTTAGAGATGACTCTAAAAATTTCAAACTGGGCACAGAAGTGAAGTAGACACAGAGTTGGTGTTTTTGGCTTCCAGGCAATATAGTTGATGGTGAAGCCATTTGAGAGAACTTAACAGCTATTTATACTTTGTAATGTACTTTTAGTGACTGAGATCAATAAACTTTATTATATGTTCTGAAGAAATAGTTTACTAATTATTTTTATTGAAAATTTTACTACATTTATAATTCTGTATATATCATGCCAAAAATTATATATGCTATAAAATCTTAATACAGCTTTTTGTACACTGAACCATTTAAACTATAAGTACTCAAAACTAACATTGTTATCTGTCAGAAATAATGGTTAAATTTGTCAAAAACATTATATTATTAAGGAGCTGAATTTAGAATCTTGGTTTTAGTTTTTGTTCATCAATGAGATTATTGTACATTTACTTGGAGAATAGATTATTTCAACCAGAAGTGCTTTCTCCCTCCTCTGAACTTCCTTGTATATCTGTTATAGTAGTTTCTTATTTCTGCTGCAACCAATTACCTCATAGTTAGTGCCTTAAAACAACACATATTTATTATCTTAGTCTGGAAGTGAGAAATCCAAAATGGGTCTAATGGATTAAACCAAGGTGTCAGCAAGGTATATTCTTTTCTGGAGATTCTTGGGGAGAACTGTTTCTTGCCTTTTCAGCTTGTAGAGGCTGCCCACATTCTTTGGCTTGTGGGTGCATCACTCCAGCCTTTACTCCTGTCATCACATCTCCTCTCTCTCCTGCCTTCCTCTTACAAGGACCCTGTGACTGCACTGGGCCCACCCAGGTAATCCAGGATATTCTTTTTCATCCCCAAATTTTTACCTTAATAATATCTGCAGAGTCCCTTTTGCCATGTAAATTAACATGCTCATAGTTTTGAGGGAATGATGTGGACTGCTGCCTCTTTCTTCTATTTAGACTCATTGAATGTCAGAGCTGGAAGGGTCAGTGGGTGATAACTTGTCCAATCCCTTTACTTTATACATGAAGAAAGTGAATGAAACCAGAGAGGATGTTTGTCTGCCTGTAAGCGTATCTCTTTTTCTTTCTTTCTTTCTTTTTAAGGTTTGAAACCGTCCTTATTTATGCTTTGTATGCTTAACTGTATGTACTTAGAGTACCTTGAACATTTTAAGTACTCAGTAACTGTTTGTAGCCTTAATGAATAAAAGGTTAGCACTCATTTTGAGTTAGTGCTAATGGAAGTTTATAAAATGTCACTGACCAAAATACCACGAGGGTAGATTCAATTATTCTTACATTTTGTAGTTAAAAGAAGGAGCTCATTTAGTCTTAAACACCAACTACCTTTTTAAATATTATAGTTCTCTTGCCCCATCTCTACCCACTCTCTTTCTTTAAAGAAAGAAGGAGTAAAGAATGAAAGAAAGAGTATGAAAAAGAATGAAAGAAAGGAAAAGTAGAAAAGAAAGAAAAGGAAGGGAGGGAGGAAAGCAGAAAATGATACAGCAGTGTTCATTTCATTGTTTCCTAGAGTAACTTATGGAACTCTGACTTAGCGTCTCTGACACACATCGCCATTTGACTGTGTTGATAAGATAAACCTATATTTTTTTGTGATGCATATAGTTCATTTGTGTACAATAATTAAGATAATTTAAAAATTAATATTTATGTTTTAAAAACTATAACTTTAGGAAAGTTTTTAGAGACTTTGGTTTACCTTTCAACTTATGATTTTCTTTTCCTTGTTAAGTAAGGACAGTTTGGACTTTTGTTTAAAATAAAATTAAAAATTAAAAATTAAACTTTATCTGGTATTTCTTATTGAAAAATATTAAGAATCCAGATTTTATGTTTAGATCACCATCTAGACTACATAAATCACTTACTAACTATTCCCAAGAAAGAAAACTTGGTGTGATGCTTATTTAATGACCGATTTTCTTTTGTTAATATTCCTCTTGCTGCTTTTAGGATTCTCTCTTTGTCTTTAATTTTTGGCAGTTTGATTACTATGTGTCTTAGTGTGGGCCTGTTTGGGTTCTTCTTACTTGGGGCTCTCTGTGCTTCTTGAACTTGAATGCCTTCTTCCTTCACCAAATTAGGAAAGTTTTCTGTCACTATTTCTTTGAATATATTCTCTAACCCTTGCTCATTTTCTTCTTCTTCGGGGACTCCTATGATGCGAATATTATTACATTTCCAGTTGTCCCACAGTTCTCTTAAGCTGTCTTCCTGTTTTTTAATTGTTTTTTCCTTTTGGTTTTCTGATTGGTTGATTTTTTTCTACCCTGTCTTCTAATTCATTGATCCGGTCCTCAGCTTCCTCTACAATGCTATTTAGACCTTCCAATGTGTTCTTTATTTCTGATATGTCATTCTTCATTTCTTCTTGGTGGTTTTTAATTTCCAACTGGTTGATTTTCAACATTTCTGTGTCTTTACTCTTGGTGCTCATGCCCTTACACATGCTGTTGAGCTTCCTCAAGATCATGGCTCTGAATTCTAGTTCTGTTGACTTGCTTAACTGTTCCTCATTTATCTCATCTTCGGTAGAGGTCTCTTGTTCTTTCATTTGGCTTTTGTTTCTGTTTTTCACCATTTTGGCTATCACAGTGGGCTTTGGAGTCTGCCAAATTTTTCCTGTGGGTGTTGGTGTTCTGCTGTTTGTGGCTCCCTCTCCTGGGTTTGGATGAGGCAGGGAGGACCCACTTTAACCACCACTGCCAAGTCTTAACTTTCCTCTAGCTTTTTTTTGCCTGGAGGCTATTAGTAAGGTCACCTGAAGAACCTTGGTTTCTGAGTTGCCTGAAAAACTCCCTCAGGTGCTCAGTGTAAGAGGATTTCCTGAGGGTAGAACAGATGCTGGTTGTTAATGGGCCTCAATTAGCATTTCAATGGCCACCAGGAGGGGTTGAATCTCCGAGGGAGGGCCCACCGCCTCTCCCCAGGGCCGTGGGATGGAGTAAGATGACCACAGTCCTGTGTGGCTGCACTCAGCAAAAGCTCTGAGCACCCTCCGAATCCCGATTGCCCCACACAGTTTCAGTGCAGTCTGCCCTCCCTCTGCTAAAGCCCAAGGTGAGTGGCTGCTGCCAATTTAGCCTCTGTCCAGACTCTGCATGGTGGAGCTGCCTGGGACTTTAACTCCAGGGCGCTGCTCCCAGCCAAGGGCTGCGAGTCTGTGAGTCTGCGGCACCAGCCGAGGGCGTGGCACCAGCCCAGGTGGCAGCAGCTTCCTGCCGAGCCCCCTGGTCCCAGCCGAGTCCGCTGGTCCCAGCCCAGGCAGCTGCGGTCCCTGGGCTCCCGGCCCCCCCTCGCGTCCTCGCAAGCCTACCAGGATTGAGTGGGTGTTTCTGGTTATGTGGTCCTCCAGGCTGCCTTTCCATTGCCCCTTCCAGATGATTTGTCATTTTCGTTGTAAATCCAGTTTGGTCCTGGGAGATGGTCTGTGTAGCTCCATTCACTCCGCCGCCATTTTTTTCTTCTTTTGTTAATATTCTTATAATTTATATAAAATCTGATTGTTGCCCTGGCTGGTTTTCTCAGTGGTTAGAGCACCGGGGGGTCGCAGGTTTGATTTCCAGTCAAGGGCATGTACCTGGGTTGCAGGTTCGATCCTCGGCCCCGGTGGGCATCATGCAAGAGGCAAATAATTGATGTGTCTCTTTCTCATCCATGTTTCTCCCCCTCTCCCTCCCTCTCTATCTAAAAAAATCAATGGAAAAATATCCTCAGGTGAAGAGTAACCAAAAAATAAATAAATGAAAATTAAAACAAATGAAATCTGCCCTAGCTAGTTTGACTCAGCGGTTAGAGCATCAGCCCACAGACCAATGGGTCTCGGGTTCGGTTCCTGTCAAGGCCACATACCTTGGTTGCGGTTTGTCCCCGATCCTGGTTGGGGTCGTGTGGGAGGTAGCCAGTCAATGTGTCTCCTTCACATCGATGTTTCTTTCTCTTCCTCCTTTCCACTCTGTCTGAAGATACATGGAAAAATACCCTCGGTGAGGATAAAATAAATAAATAAATAAATGAAATCTGATTGTTATATGAGTTTGTTATTTTTTTATTATTGTTATATGAGTTTGGATGTATTAGGCATATTTCTTGAAATAAAATATATCAGAAGCATGTTAGATTCTTTTCCTATTTGTATTAGCATAATATTCCAATGGATGTATACATTTATACATGTCTAATTCTAACACTAAGTCTGCCTACTAAGACAGTACATGTAATGTGCTAGCAGCTGTAAAATAGACCATGATAAAAGTGTCCAGTAACTGGTAATGGCTATTATCATATTGTCATTCTCTCAGTGAGCAAGAGGTTAATTTTAACTCAGCTTTAATTTTTTTATTCTCTTTTTAAAAGGTTTGTAAATTTTCAATTACAGTTGACATACAATATTATATTAGTTTCAAGTGTACAACATAGTAGTTAGACATTTGTATAACTTGAAATGTGGTCACCCAGATAAATCTAGTACCCATCTGACATCATCCACAGATAAGTCAACTTTAGAATGTATTCATTATAATAAATTATATTCATTGGGTAAAAACCTAATCTGACTTTTCTTTTCCTGGCAGCAACTTGAATTGGTGGAACCAAGTGGCTGGATTCATGTACCCTTAACTGATAATCATAAGAAGCCAACTCGAACATTCATGATACAGATTGCCGTTCTAGCCAATCACCAAAATGGAAGAGACACCCACATGAGACAAATTAAAATATATACACCAGTAGAAGAGAGCTCCATTGGTAAATTTCCTAGATGTACAACTATTGACTTCATGATGTATCGTTCAATCAGGTGACCTGGATATAGAACAGAAGTCATTAAACATATCTGTGTTTTCTCTGGTCAGTAAATATTATATCTGATATCTTTATTGAAAAATCCTGTTGTTTTACAGTTTTTTGTATGCATTGAAAACTATTTTATTATAGTTTTAAAAAATAAATTTTGGGTCATACCAGCTTTATTTTCTTTAACATAATAACACTCACATATTTTATATTATTAAAAATGAGTTTGAGTCCTGGCTGGTGTGGCTCAGTTGGTTGAAGCATCGTTCCATACACCAAAAAGTTGAAGGTTCAATTCCCGGTCAGGACACATATCAGGTTTCAGGTTTGATCCCCAGCTGTGGTGTGTGCAGAAGGCAGCTGATCAATGTTTCTTTCTCATATTGATGTTTCCCTCTCCCTCTCCCTCTCTCCCTCTCCCTTCTTTCTAAAGTTAATTAAAAAATTCATTTGAAGCCAATCATTAAATTTTTTCTTATTACCAAAAGAAAACCAACTGAGCCCGGCCAGTGTGTCTCAGTGGATTGAGCATTATGGTCCCATGAACAGAGTTCCTGGTTCGATTCCTGGTGGGGGCACTTGTCTGGGTTGCAGGGGGCGTGCAGGAGGCAGCCGATCGATGTTTCTCACATTGATGTTTCTATCTGTCTCTAAAAAATCAATAAAAACATTTTTTAAAAAAAGAAAGAAAACCAGTTGAACTGAACATATTTTACTAACCAGGTGTTTATTTCACATAATGATCATGCATTAGAGTAATGATTCACCTCATATTTGAAAACAAACCTATGTCTTATCAGTAGATGTTATCTTTAATAAGCCAAAATTATTTTTCTCTATAATCCAGAGGAAGCTTATTCTTTTAATACTGAGCCTTTTTAAACACGGTGTCAGAATAAGCTTAGCATGAAGTGTCTGATGAGAACCACTCTGATTGGGAATATAGTTAATTGTGACAATTACTTCCATGAAATACTTGTAAGCCTAGGGTTGTCTATGTCCTGATACCATGTCAGAGATAGCCATTATAATCTGCTGTTGTCCTAATTCTAGTGCTGCTATAGAAGAGTTAGTTTCAAATTTGTATCTTGACACTGAAGCATTTCTGAGGGATAAAGAGGTCCCGTGAAAAACTTAAAAATGTATGAAATTATTTTTTATATATAGAAAGATATTAGAGGAGCTTAAATATGTTTTTTTTCCCATGGTTTAAAATGAGTAGATTTGATTCTGCATACTTTTTTTTTCTATATCTATTACTTTTTGGGAGGGTGTTTATTTAGCCACAGAACTTCCCTAGATTGGCTCTTGTTTGGGAAAAATTCCTTGGTGGTTCTTGCATTACTGGAGAGACTGAAGTCTTAAATAGTAAGGTTTAAAAAATATTTTGTATTTGCTTTATTCTGGCAGCGAGTAGTAATTTACATGGATACTCTACAGGTTTTACTTTTTCACTCAGCAGAATCTCCGTTCTTTCTGTGAATTTCACAACGAGATTTGTCATGTGCATTTTGTTGTCTTTGAAGAAATAGGGTAGGTGATCTATAGTCACCAAATAGTCCGTAACCAAAACTCATTTGGGATTAGTAAATTAATTCCAATATAGATGTGGGATACTGGAAAGGTTAGAAGAGTGGATTAAAGGAAAACACATGGATAGGAATTAAAAGCAAAGGACAGAATCAAGGAAATTAGAATAGAAATATACACTAGGCACTGTATAGATGTTTTGCTTTATTTAGTCCAATAAGGAAAACATGTAAACAACAGCGTCTTAGTGTTAGAGACAGAGAAATCTAATAAAAAAATACAGAAGTATTTAGCCTGGCTGGTGTGGCTCAGTGGATTGAGCAATGTCTCACAGACTGAGAAGTCCCGGTTTGATTCCCTGTTCGATTCTACATGCCCGGGGTTGCAGGCTCGATCCCCAGTAAGCAGGGTGTACAGGAGGCAGTGACTTGATGTTTCTCTCTCTCTTTTTTTTTTTATCCTCACCCGAGGACACTTTTCCATTTTTTGTTCAGGTAGAGTGGGAGGAAGGGAGGGAGGGAGGGAGAGAGGGAGAGAGAGAGAGAGACATTGATGAGAAAGGGACACATCGAGTGGCTGCCACCCGCGCGACTGACCAGGGCCAGAGACAAACTGCAACTGAGGTACGCGCCCTTAGCAGGAACCGAACCCGGGTCTCTCAGGACCGACCCCAGGCTGTCGCTCTAACCGCATTTTGCCTGCTTTTGCCTGCTAAGGGAAACAATAGTCCTCTAAACAAACAAATCAGAAATTAGAGTGGTAATATTTCACACTGATGCATAGGAGTGTAGAGGGGAAGAGAGGATTGACTTCCTGTCCGGGAAATTAGAAGTGAAGCTAAATAAGACATTGTGGAGGAGGTAGAGTTTTGGAAAGAAACTAATTATTCACTTTCAAGTTTATTCTTGAATCCAGACTATCATTGTTTATAGGTAAGTAACAGTTATTTTGAAACAGATGATTTGTGTGTTCAGAATCAACTAACGTTTTGTACATTGCTCTCATTTGATTAAAACATGGACAAATCTTGAAAAATAATTTTAGCCATTATGACTACTAATTTAGTGCAGATTAATACACTACAGTATACATTTAATGAGTATAAAATTTTATGAATCACCCTAGCTCAGTTTGTTGGAGCATCGTCCCCTACACCAAAATGTTGTGGGTTTGATTCTCAATTAGGGCACATGCCTAGGTTGCAAGTTTGATCCCAGTTAGGGTATGTACAGGAGGCACTGGTCGATGTTTCTCTCTCACATTGATGTTTCTCTCTCTCTCTCTCTCTCTCTCTCTCTCTCTCAAATCAAGAAAAACATACCCTCAGGTGAGCAATAAGTAAATAAAGAAGTAAATAAATAGCCCTGGCCAGTTTGGCTCAGCGGTTAGAGCACCAGTCTGCGGACCAGACAGTCCCAGGTTCCGTTCTTGCTAAGGGCACATACCTCACTTGCAGTTTGTCCCCGGCCCCGGTTGGGGTCAATGTGGGTGGCAACCACTCAATGTGTCTTTCTCACATCAATGTTTCTCTCTCTATTCCCCCCTCTCTCCCTCCTGCTTTTTCTGAAGATAAATGCAAAAATGCCCTCGGGTGAGGATTAAAAAAAAAAAAAGTAAAATTGTATGACTCAAACACAAATATGTCATATGTTTCCAAGTGTTTTAGAAAATTGTTGCTCTAGACTTTTTAATAACATGCATTATTTTTATTGAATTCCTGCTTATTTCATCAATTACCGTTTTAAAATGATAAAATTTGCAAAATATGTTGCATTAAAGCATTAGGGAAAATAATATTTTGTAGTCGTGATTGTATGTGGACGCTTGCTTTGTGCATCTTTTACACCAAGATTATCTTTTGCCCACACTGGTCTGGCATTTCCCACTTCTGTGACTTTTAGAGCAGCAATTTTCAATTGATGTGCCGTGGTAGGTGCACAGGGGTGCCACAAGAATTTTAGAAGCATGCAATACCTGACTACCTAGTCAGGGACAGTGACCTCTTTTTTCTTAGATGTCAATTTTAAAAAATGACAACAACCAACATGACGATAGCTATCTGGTGTGAATGAATAAAAATTATACCTATTTTTTTGTTAGCTTGGCAAAAATACATTTTCAGTGTGCGGAAGAATTTTGGTAATTAGCTTATGTGTGCCATGAAAAAGGCTGAGTTCGGTGTTTGGAATTGTTGCTGTGAAAGCTATTTCTGTTCAGTGGTGTCCAAAAAGCCTTAGAAAGAGGAAGATGGCAAAGAAGAAAGCCTTGGGGGTTAGTTTATTAATTATCCATGACAGTAATCTAGTACATTAACAGGACAAATCTGAAGGCTAATTATTTTGACCCCTCCCAACTATAAATCTAAGAAAATGTCTATAATCAATGGCAATGTTACATGAAAAGTTAAAATTATTTTTTAGTACTATTAACTAGTCTTATTTTTCAGTTTTTATCTGGACCAATTATAGTTCTGCCTGCTTTTGAAACCTTTATCTAAGTGAATTTTTGTTTCAGAAACTGGTGTTTCACATCATGTATAATCGAAGCTCTAGCATGGACCATTGCAGTTATTGTAATCACTGCATTTGTGGCCGTGAGCTTCCCACTGATGCAGTTCTGTGATCACCAGGAGATGTTCTTCCGCTAGGCGTTTGCTTTTCCAGCGCTGAGAGCAAATTACCGTTCTCCCCCTGTGGTCCTGGAAATAACTCCCCAAACTGTTTTTATAGACTTTATTCTGAGACTAGCTCTCTTCTTTACCCTGGCATTCATCTGTAGCTGGCCATCCAGATTTTAACAGATCATTTCCTGTTATTACTACAGCAGTATCAAAATACTGATCACTCACTAAGAAGCAAAGTATCCAAAAAACTGAAGCAGAGAGTTCAGCCAGCTGTTTGTTTTCCACTGTTAAAATTTATAGGAATCACATGTGAGGTGGATGTGAAGCCGTGAAATCGAGGGCAGCCTCAATAAAAGGAGAACGGTGATAGTGCTCCGTCCAGCTTTTGTCATACTCAGGTGCTTACCAGAGGCAAAGCAGAAGAATTCTACTGTTTACTTAAAAATAGTGCTTATTTTTTAAGGTAGCATTCAGGAACTAATAGGATATTTAAGGAATATATTCCTCAGAAGTTTTAAGTCATCTGAACTGTTTAGAAAAAATTTGTCATTTTTTTTCTTGAAATTGTCAGTTAACAGATGTAATTTGGTGTAATTTTGACTCTCATCTTTTCATATTCAGTAACCCCAAGTCCTGCAGATTTCACATTAATGATCACTGTTAGTTTCACCCAGTTCACATCATTCTAGGCCAATTGCAGGAAGCTCCCAGATGGACCATTGGTCTTTAGTTTATGCTAAAATAAAAGTTTTATTTTAAAACTTTAAAAGTCCAAACAGTATTTCATCATATAGCTCTCTGTAAATATATATACTAATTCCACATTACCTGTATATATTTACCAACTATATAAGCCTGAAGTCCTTTGGCATCCCTTCAAGGCCATCTCTTCCCTGCTTCTTTTATAATTTTTTTTTCATTATTCTTTATTATTCTCAGACTTTTTGCTCTAGCCAAGAAAATATGCTTGCCTGTTTTTGTACCCTTATTTTTATTTTTACTCTTTTATATGTAACATCTAATGGCCTTTAATCTTGTCACTATTGTACTAATTGATACCA